CATTTTTGGTACCTTGCTTTTGTAGATTCTTCTAGTAATGATCTGGCATAGTTGCATATTATGCCGAGTTTACCCAAACTGTTACCTCGTTGCAAAGAAATATTCTAAACTTTTCCCTTTGATGAGTTTCAATTATATCGATAACAATCTCAAATGAAAGTTCAGGCTTGTCACCAGAAAGCTAAGTTGTAAAGAGAGATTGAAGCTGCGAGAAAGGGACATAAAAGACCTGAAGACTTCACTGGCCTCAAAGGAACAGTCAGAATTGATTTGGGACATCTTGTTTCCATGTACTACTTCTGGTTGCACAATCTCATGCCCTCTTCTCAGCTCTTAACCAAATAGAGGTTGGTGCTCCCACATGGCCCAAAGGTTGACCACACTCACAGGACAGGCTCCCTATAGACCAGTCCCTGCTCCTTCCATCTTACCATCCATGGTCTTCCCATGTATATCAAAAYCTCTTATCTAATCTGTGACACCAAAATTCTAAGAACAGGACTGAGTTACATGCCCTGAAGCATACCATACCTTAGATAGTCAATTACATTTTCACTTTGCTAAAATAAAAATAGCAATTTTTATATCCTGTTTCTTTGATGTACTTGTCTTAAATTCAGCTCCCACTCAACCATCTTGTCCTCCCCCAATCTCACTCGCACACACACACACATACACACACACACACACACACACACACACACACTCCTTTCTTTTCTTCATATGAAAGCATGAAAATTCCATCAAAGGGAGATTCTTTATCTTGATTGCAGTTTCTTTTATATTGTGAAGGGGTACAGGACAACTCCCAAGCCTTTTCTAATAAGGAAGAGTCAACAAATCCTTTCCTGAGGTCCCTAACTATGATTTGAAGTGAAATCACAATGAAGTTCTCCCAGAGCAAAAAAGAAACCTGAGGGTAAAGCCCACACCTTTCTCCAAAGTCAGAACCCTTTTCACCTTTCCTGCTGYGCAGCCTGGGGGAAAAGATTCAGAATCTCGGTGTGGACCAAAGGTACTTGAGAAGGCTCCTTCACTTTGAGTTCTAGAATGTAATCTTTGCCAAATTTTCTTTTCAGGTGTTGGATGGAACCAATGCATCTATGGGTAAGAAGGAGAACATGTTGGAAAAAACACTACCACTAACATTTGGATGCAATTCTTCAATTTCCAAGGTAGTGGAAAGGGAAAGGAAAGGCTCCAGCTGCTCATTGCAGTTCTGCCCTTTCCACAGGGATTCTGTGTTAGGTGTCAAGTGCAGGCTCTGGAGTGACACCCACCTCAGCCTTCC